AGCTAGAAATAGAGAGACTAATGATCAGAGATGGAGAGCAGGTGAGGAGATGAAAGAACGAGGAACAGCTGAAACAGATGAGAGCGCAATGATGGATGAGAGTCAGAGTGTGTGGATGTGTGTGTGTCCAGCAGATGGAGACAGAGAACAGAAAGAGAGAAGGAACCAGGATCATGATATTGTCACTATGAGGTCTGTCTTTCTTGTTTTGTTTCTTGTTTTGTATTTTTAATTGATTATATGGAATATGACCCTTGCCTGGATGACTACGAATGAATAAAACCTACTGGACTTGGATCTACTCTTTCCTGTGTGTGTAATGGCTCTTTCAGACTGCACGATTTTCAAAGTAGTCAGGTCGCTGCTCTTTTCACACTGCATGACTATCTTGGCCAGCATTCAGTCGCTGCTGTGTTCACACTGGACGATGGATCGGCGACAGAAGGTTTCACACTGCATGACTTTAGAAAAATCGCCGACAGACTCTGTCTAGCACGCTGCACGCAAACTACATTTCACAACAAACACGCGTGAGATATGAAAAGGAAACAACGCGCGACACCACACGTGCAAGACCGGAGTTCTCACGTGAGACTTTTTTTTTCGACCCGGTTGTGGTACAGCTGGTGAAACAGACACGAGTGCTCCTGCCAAATTTCTACTAATTTTTCTTCCATTTATTGTGTCCAAATAGACCGAGAAGAAGCTTTTTTTGTTGAAACAATGCCATATCATGTTGATATGTGATCTATAACTCCTCCCCGAACTCCCTGCTGCTCTGTATCTTGCTCTCTCACTGGCTGCCGGTGATCGCCGATGTAGTTTTCAGTCAAAACACTTCACACAGCAGGATTTTGAATCGCCGACAGGTCCAGATATTTAGCATGCCAATATCTCACGGGCGTCGGCGACTCGTCGGTGATTCTCTCAGTTCGCGTCTTTGTTCATTCACACTGCGTGATTGTCACTCGCGTGAACGAGCGCCGATTTGCCTGTGATTTCGGGCATTTGTCGGCGATTTCTCAAAACCTGTCGGCGAGCCAAAATCGTGGCTAAAATCATGCAGTCTGAACTCGGCATAACGTGACACCCGTTTTTGTGTTTCCATTTTTCAAACTTTAGTTAGTGTGTTGCTGTTAAAGCATAAATAATACCTGTAAAATTATAAAGCAAGTTCAGCGAGATATTTTATTTAACAGAAGTCCCCTTTCAAGCTTTAAGTCTCCAGTTTGGGCTACATCATAGACAGTAAAAGAAATGGACAGAGTGATCTCATTGGAACACCTTTGAGACAATTGAAGCCCGTTTTTGGCGATTTTTTTCTTTTTCTTTTAGCACTTCCGTCCCTGACGTGCAGACTCAAACAGAGCTTGACTACGTAGATGTGACGAGAGCAACCCGTCTGTCTTCTAGTGCCGTGGCATGTGAAATCTGAATCATTCCCTTCCAAAACATACAGAGGCGGAAAGTGTGAATAGGAGCAGTCCATGAGCAAGGAGAAGGAAACAATTCTGCTAGGTATTCTGATTAATCATTTTGTCATTTTGCCTCCACGTTTCCCTGATTGCGCGTGAGCTTCTTCTCCTGTCCATATGGTAATCTCTCTATTGTGCGACAGAGAGTCGTGTGGGTATGACGCAATCGTTAGCCTAATTTTACTAAAACTGCTTCTACGGGGCCATAAGCTACAAGGTAATGGAGCATTTTATACATTGTCGTGTTTCTTTAGAAATAAATAAAGGACAAATGGGGTCTTCAAACGCCTCAGATGTAAAGTTATTCGCTGTCAAAGTGACGCCAAAATGAATGGGAGTCAATGGGAATGGTAACGCAAGTGAAGTTCTGCTACAAGATGGCAACTCCCAGCGAGGCTTCAACTCCCAGCGAGGCTTCCTTGGGCTACATTCCTCTACTTCCTTTTTTAATGACATAATTAGAACAGTTTTTTGACTAATCTCCACCCACAGGAATACACAAAAAAAGGGAGCGTGGTCTTGTTGAGCTTCCACGTTTGTCGATAATTCGTCGACAAACCTACACATTGATGTGAGACAGTAATAATTTAATGTGCAGTCACGTAACGATCAACTTTTAATAAATAAATTATTTTAATGCATGGCAACGACGATTTCTTTTACACAACATGGCAGCTTGTAAGGCTATATAGTAAGCCAATAGAAAGATAGAAATATATATAGAAAGCCAATAAATTAATTTTTTATCATACTGTGCTTACATTCAACCATATATATGTTTAATTTTCAACCCATAGATGTCAAAATTACCTTACAGTAAAATTGCACAAGAACATATTTTGCCAGAAATGTGATGATAACTTTTATATACAATAGATGTAAAATGTAAGATGTAACATATTGTTCCTTTATACTTACATGGAGGTACACTATAATTACAGAAACGTATACAATAATTTGGGGTTATTTGTAAGTTGTATATCTGCTTGTTACCCCTTCATTACCAAAAAACATAACATATTGTTCCCTTATACCTAGACGGAAGTTAGCTATAATTACAGAAATGTACTTACGGTAGAAACATGATGTCACAATATGTCGAACCTTCATAGAAGAAGTGGGTGCCCGCGGTTATGCAGTAGCACTTCATTGCAGTACACAAGATCCAGGGGGCGTAGTTAGATCCAAATCTAAGGGGTGGAGATGGGTAGGATAAGGGGTGGGGTTAGGGATCAGGGGGTGGAGATGGGTAGGATTAGGGGTGGGGTTATGGATCAGGGGGTGGAGATGTGTAGGTTTAGGTATTTGAAAGGCATCCAACTCCTCCCCTTGGATTTCGTGTTCTGCAGATAATGATTATGTAGATCAGTGGTTCTCAAACTTTTTCAGGAGGAGGCCCCCTTGTGTAGGGTGAATCCTTTTGTGGCCCCCCAAAAGAAAACTCATAACGAAAACATCCTCAAACGTACAATTTTACTTACAAATTTTAGATTGAACCAAAAACAAATGAATTTGTACAATGCTGGAACAACAGTTCTGTTTTTAGCTTTATGTCTTTGAATATACAAAATTAGTTAAATTGTACATTTCATTAAATATAACATTTTTTTTTATAAAAAATGGTTTTGACAGTTAACAGTAATATTGTCTGAAAAGTGCAACAAAAGTATTGAATACTGAACATTTGTGATGTTCATAGTAAAAGATAAACACTGAAAAATTAATTTGCTGATTGTAAAAAAAGTGCATTAAACTTCTTACATTTTAAGGTAGTAAATGACAGTGGCTCAAGTTTGGTTTGCAAATTTGAACTGCAATCTGTTTTTTCAGCAAGAAACAAAAAATAATTCTACTCTACACAAAGAAATACTTTTTCAATATAGAAGACATACAATTTTATACAAGTTTTACAATATAAAAGAAATCATGCAATGCAGATTTCACATAGGACAATCCAAACTTACATACAGGTAAAATAATTTTTTTTAAATAATTTCATATTCTAGAATTTCTTTGCGGCCTCCCTAGCGCCATCTAGTGGCCCCCCAGGGGGCCACGGCCCCCAGTTTGAGAACCGCTGATGTAGATAATGTCTCATTCTAAGGTAATAAAAACATTCCGGTTTATTAGGTTTTTTATATACCACTGAAAACATTGCTATGGATGTTATATTGCATTTCTGTTAATAGATAATCATTATATTACACATTGCACCTTTACACCTTTAAATAAACCCACAAGCCAGCTCCAGGGCTTGAAGGGCCTGTTTCGCCTGCTCTACCCTGGTCTCCCGAGCTGCCGGCACTGGCCAGGACACCCAACAAAGACAAAAGCAAAAAAAAAAAAAAAAAAAAAAGAGAGAGAGAGAGAGAGAGAGAGAGAGAGAGAGAGAGAGAGAGAGAGAGAGAGAGAGAGAGGGCTATTACATTAAATAAAATTGTTCACATGAAGAGATGAAAGGCTGTGCAATTCCTACCTGTCCTTATAGCTTTCTAGTAGATACAGAAATCACATTTATTTTAAGACAGGGAAGACAAGTTTACAGTTTAAAAAAAATGCATTTGTGATTTTTTTTAATTAGACCCCACAAACGAAAATATCTGTTTTGTTATTGAGTCTAAATACCCAAATATGTTTCTCATATGTATTGAGAAGCCTGGCAAAATATTACACTTGACAAATACACCAATTTCATTCCAATATGCTTTTGGCTGTAATGGACTGTCTTTTTTAAAATTTATTTATTTTTATTCAGCATTGTTTTACAATAATGGCTGTAGCAGACCATCCTAAAACTTGTCCTAAAACTGACATCACTGCCATTACACTGCCATGAGGTGCCTCACGTGATGGCTACACACTCTCCAGTAGCAGCTCATTGCAGTACACGAGATCCAGGGGGCGGAGTTGGATCCAGATCTGGGGGTAAAGACGAGGGATGGGGGTTGGGGATTAGGGGGCAGAGGGGTGTAGGTTTAGGGGTGGAGTTAGGGATCAGGGGCGGAGATGGGTAGGTTTAGGAATATGTAAGGTGGGAGGAATTGGATCTGGATCCAACTCCTCCCCCTGGATTTCGTGTTCTGCAGTGAGGACCATCTCACATAACCTCTCATCATCTCCCTAATAAGACAAGACATCTCTGCCTAAACCCACTGCTGGCCCTGCTCTGTCTGGACATAATACTTAATGGAGATCTTTAAGCGAAAAACACTCCTTTCGAGTTTCTGTTGAATTTAGTGCATGCATCTTGTTTTGAACGCTTGTAGTTATATTTAAGCCTTGCCGTAGCGTGTACGTTGTTGTGAAATAACTAAATTTACAACAGTTAAAAATTGGCTATACCGTTTACATATTACAATTATATTTACACAGTATCTTTACTTTGATCATTCGGAAAGAAAGTTTGCATATGCCAACTGCAAACCGCTACTGACAGGCCCACAGAGAGGCATTGTAGCGTTCAGCATAACTGAACGGCTCACTAGCGCTACAGTAAACACACCGGTCACCGGAACTCGTGACTTATGCATATTAATAAGATAAAGTCAATGGACGCCCACAGGAAGCGGCAAGTTATTTCTTTTTGGCATCCTAAGAATAACCTATTGACGATGAGGTTTGACTTGTGAATTTCGTTTAACACCTTTGATTGTATTGCACACTGAACTGTGGCGTCGAAACGCTTTTGGCCTGAATCTGGAGGAAATGGGTTGTATGTATGATACAGTCCTCAGAGTTTTTTTTTTTTTTAATTCAGCGTCACGCTGTACTAGCTATAAAATGTATCTGGTTATTTGTCACATCGACACCGGGAAATCATTACTTAGCTCAGTATGCGGATCCTTATGAGAACACAAAGCTAAAGGTAAGTGTGAATGTTGATATACCATTATAATAGCCTATTCAGTCATGTACATGTGTAAACAAGAGCATGTTTAAAACTACCTTAAAATCCTTTGCTGATAAACTGTTTGGGTGTTGTGATGTGATGTGATATATAGGCTACTTGCTAGTATTTACTGTATTTGAATCAAACGTGCTGCTTTTTTAATTGTAGTGAGTAAACCCTTATGTTCTGTTTGGGTTCCGCAGACCTTCTTAAAGTAACGTTAACGAAAAACACACACATATGTGTCATTGTTTTTGATGCTTGCATAAATAATTATTAATAGTTATCTTATTTTTTTTTCCGGTAACACTTTACATTAAGGTTTATTATTAAATAATGTATTAACTAACTTGAATTAACATTGAGAAATATTTGTTACAGTAGCCTATTTATTAAATTTGTTAATGTTAGTTAATTAAATACAGTTGGTAATGGTTTGTTCATGTTAGTTCTCCGTTGTATGTGTTCAACTGTTAACACATAGTATTTGATTTTAATAACGTATTAGTAAATGTTGAGATTAATATTAACTAAGATTAATAAATGCTGTAGAGGTATTGTTCATTCTTAGTTGCCACAGCTGTGGCATACAGGGTGTCCACTAAAGTGGGCTGATGAATTCACTGCTCTGTCTCTCGATCCACGTCCTCATCCAGCGGTCCTTATGGTAGAGGTGTGTCAATAAGGTTACAGATAATGTTCCAATGTTTGGCAGATAAGTAGCTGATATGGCCTGGCCATGTTCACCAGCATACACATTCAGCGCCATCTGTGTTCATACATTCTTTGGTACATGTGAAGTGTTGAGTTCCATCGAGTTGAGATGGCCTGGATGATGTTGTGCTTTGGGACACCAAGCTCCTCCTGAATAGTTCTTAGCCTCTGTTTCACCAGTACAGAATAGCCAAAGTGAATGCACAGTTTTTTAATAGTCAAGTCACCTTTATTTATATAGCGCTTTTTACAATTGTATCAAAGCATCTTCACAGTGATAACATGAAAATAATATAACAAGTTTGTTTCTAGAAGAAAATTGCATCAATGTTCACCTTAAAGGGATAGTTCACTTTGAAATTAATTTTTGATATGTTTTAGCTTACCTCAAGGGCATCCAAGATGTAGGTGTCTTTGTTTCCACAGTATTTCCAATTTTGATATTTTTTGGTCAAACCGTTGTTGTCTATCAGTCATACACTGGAGGTTAAGGGGGTCCACACTGGGTTCCCATCAAAGAGTATGCACAGAGAAGTCAAAATTAAACATGATCGAATGACTTGTAAATGTAAGTACACATTGATGGCCTAAGACATGAAACGAGCGGTTTGTGTGAGAAAACGATCAGTATTTATATCGTTTTTACCTGGTGTAATCACAGCCATGTCAAACTGATCTGACGGCACGGGCGCGTGTACGTCTCTCGCGTGTACGTCAAATACGGAGATTTCGGAAGTTTTACCTTTTACTGTGAAGATCTAAACATATTTAGATATACCGAAATCATCTTCCATTGCGATTTCCTGTATATCTAAATATGTTTAGTAAAAGGTAAAACTTCCGAAATCTCTGTGTAAATATTGAGTAGGGTTGGGTATCGAGAATCGAGTATCGATTGGAATCGGCACTAACTTTACGTTTTTCCCAGAATCGTTAAAAAGTTAAAATTTCGATTCCTAGTTTCGATATTCACAGTCCACCGAGCGGAAGAAGAAACCGCTGAACAACACCAACAAAGAAGCGTCTACCGGAAGTGTTGCCATAACCGCGTGTGTCGAACATGAGTACCTTACGTCGGCGATCCAAAGTGTGGCTTCACTTTTCTAAAAATAACGAAATCTCGGCAAAATGCAAAATTTGTGACAAAAGGAGTATTTGTGACAGGAGTATTTCCTTCAGAAAGGATTATTTCCTTCAGAAAGACCGTTGGTTAGCAAGGTTAGTTAAACTTTTTTGACCCTGCCTCTTAAAAGAATCGGAATCGAGAATCGTTAGGAACCGGAATCGAAACAAGGAATCGGAATCGGAATCAGAATCGTTCAAATTTAAACGATACCCAACCCTAATATTGAGTGACGTACACAAGCAAGCGATCACTTCCGGCAGAGCGTTGAACATGATTCAGTTCGGTTCAGTTGGACATTGCACAACTGATTCAGATCACTTGGACGTGACTGTGATTACACAAGGTAAAAACGATATAAATACTGTTCGTTTTCTCGCACAAACTGCTCATTTCGTGTCTTAGGCCATCAATGTGTACTTACATGTACATTTCCGAGTCATTAAATCATGTTTAATTTGGACTTCTCTGTGCATGCTGACATGGACCCCCATACCTGCATTATATGACTGGCAGACAACAGCAGTTTGACTGAAAAATCATCACGTTATCAAAGAGCGCTTAACTGTTTTCCTTCAGAGACGACTGCAGCTGGAGAATTGAGATGTATCGATTCTGCTGTCGCGTCTGTTGTAAAATAAATCGGCAGTGCATTAATTTTAATAGACAAACAGAGAACTGCAATCAAGGCATTTGTTGATCGGAAAGATATTTTTGGCGTCATTCCAACATGATTCGGGAAAAGTGTAACTTATCAGCTGGCTCTGACGGTCGCTAAGAAGATGGGACATAATGAAAAGCCTGTGGTCATTGTGGTTTCTCCTTTGGTCGCACTCATGGAGAAGTAAGTAGAAGATGCAACAATCGTTATTTAACTTCTAATCTAAAATAAGAAGTTCTGTAGTTGAAAACTGCGCTATGCAAAGGAGTTGACTTACTGCTTTGCTCTGATTGGTTGTATGTTTACCGACTATCCAATTGAGTGCAGAGGTTTTTTTTTTAGATGGCTCTGCATTTTTTTCGATGCAGAGCCAAATGGGAGGAGCTAGAGCTCGAGCTCCCCCTTTTCTGGAGCTCCAGCTCCACCTCGCTAAATTTAGTGGGCGGGGCTTCGCTGCAGCTTCCAATGGGAAGAGCTAGAGCTCTAGCTCACCCTCGCTGGATCTAGTGGACAGAACATAACGCGCTATCAAGCCTGTTAATGTTAGGGCGAGTTTCACCCGTGATGAAAGGACAAGTTTGTTTTGATGCGCAAGATGCTGGCAAACATAATATTGTATTTTACTCTAAGATTTGTCATGATTATGAGAAATTATAAAATGATTTATCGTTTCTGTGACAAACGCGTAAACACTTAATAAGAACATTGCTCACACTATCTGTGCGTGTTTCTAAAAACTGTTGAAAACTTTGTATCTATGTATTCTTTTCTCTTTATTACGATGAACAGTTTCGTCGTTTTCCTCACTTTTAAAGCCGCTTTGGACAAAAGCGTCTGCTATATGATTATGTAAATTACTAGACAAAGGCAATGTGAAGGCTTACTATCTGTGCACCCGTTTATTTTGTCCACCGCAGTAACGCGAGTTATTTGTTGTAAATTAATCTAAAAAAAGATTGTGTAAATAAATCATCTGATTATTTCATTAAATAAAAAATAAGACTAGGTTACCTAATCTGCTCTTTTTGTACGTAAATGTAAAAGCATAAGCTACTCCAATAGGCCAGTTGTATTTTTTTTTATATTGTAAATTAAAGTGTAATATATTGACTGTAATATTGGATAGACTCAACCTTCATGTTATAGGCTATGCATTTAGCTATTTTAATGAAATGGAAACAAGCAGTCCAGTACTCTAAAACCAGCTGTGTGACTTCCCACACTAGTCTAGAGGAAAAACAAGATAACAAATGTGCTCTGAGATTAGTGATGCATCCGCTTCACATTTTAATGGTATAATAAGAAGTACATTGAAGGACACACTTCATATAACACATAACATTTCTCTTCACAGAACTCAACCAATATTTTTTTACATAGTATTCCCACTGGTAGATTCAAGTTCAAGTTGATTTTATTTATACAGCACATTTCATAACTGCCACTGACTGACCTAAGTGCTTTAAAGAACTACAAAAATAAAAAAAATAAAAAAGAATAATACCTGCATAACAGCACAGCACACGGATAAGTGCAGCAAAGCTAAGAGCAGCCTTAAAGAGGAGTAGCAAAAACATTATCAAACATAAAATATAAAATAAGAAAACAGAAATCGCTTGATCACAAGCGATTCACAAGTTAGGGTTGTGTAAACAAGACACACAGATTTTTCTTCTGTCTCGTACTTCCTGCAAGAAAAGTTCCATGTCCTCTACTCTTTGAAAAATGAATAGGAAGGGAGCCCAAATTTCTTCTTCATATGCTTCACCTTCATAACGTGTGGAGTTTAAAAACAAGTCCCGCATTGTGATGGCCAACAAGGCATCATCCATCTTCATCCTTAAGATCTTTGGCAGATCAATCTTTCCAGTAAAGTACTGTTGGCTCTCTTCCACCCACTCACAGGCCAGCTGAATATTTTTCATCACTGCAGAGGCCTGTGTGCCATATAATAATTCCAATAATAATGTTATTAATGAAGTGCTGCTCATAAACACTTTTATGAAACAGGAAAGCCAAATGTATAAATAAACAAATTTCGCAATAGATAAACATTCACTCAACATACATAGATATCTGGTGTTGGGGTGATCTCCATGACATTCGACTCAGGTGGACTGACTTCCATGTCAGCTGGGGGTATTTGTTCCTGGAAAGGAAGAATATTAGTACAAGTTATAATACAAAAATACTTATGACAATTACTGTAATAAGAACATTGTAATTGAGCAGCAAAGATTGAACTTAACTAATTTTGCCCCTTATGCTTCATATAGAGGGTTTTCACCGACGTCACATTCTGAGCGGTAACCTGGATGAGCGGCCATTATGGAGGCACTCGGATGTAAACAACAGCATGGATTGCACTGTTTACGTACTACTGAACACATTGTTGCACTAAAAAAACACAGAAAAAACCCATGGTATGTGCGAAATTCATATAGAGAAGGCCTTATAAAGCAGGAGAGAGTGCAATAT